CCAGCACAACATTAATAGGAATACAAAATTGTTCTTTGTTGGGCAGTATTTCTCATTTAAGATTCTAATGACACAGTTTGAATAGGGAATTATGTTTAGATTCAGCATCTAAGATCCAGAACTCCTGAGCAGCTCTTTTTTCAGCTCTTTTTTATGAAATTCAATCATCTGATCAATTCAGTTCTACTATACTAGGCATAAAAGCTGCGGTGGCCCAGTGGTTAGAGTGCAGTAGTGCAGGCTACTTCTGCTGATCACCAGCTGCCAGCAGTTTGGCAGATCAAATCTCACCAGGCTCAAGGTTGACCCATCCTTCCATCCTTCCAAGGTCGGTAAAATGAGGACCCAGATTGCTGGGGGCAATAGGCTGACTCTGTAAACCACATAGAGAGGGCTGTAAAGCACTTGTGAAGCGGTATATAAATCTAGGTGCTATTGCTATTGCATCTGTTTCAATAACTGAATATTTTCTTCTATGTCCCTTTTGCTCCTCAATTATGTTTATTTTGCATATGTTTCATTGTGATGCTTCATTTATAATGAATTGTTTTTATCAGTTCTGACAGCTGCCATGAAGATTCTTCTATCGCTTTCTGAACGTGAGGGGTAAAATTATTTTTATAAGCAATCATGAAATTAAAACAGCATTGTGTAACTTAGTTGAAGTCTGGGGAATTGTGTTAAGAGGAAGCCCTGCCTACATGCCATGAACTTAAACAAAACCCAGAAACAATTAAATCTTCAGGGAAAATTTATTTCAGACCTTTTTCCAATCCTAAATGCTAATTATGCCAAAGGGACTTTGTCTATTGTAAGCAAACATGAATAGTTATCAGGAAGCAGCTTAATGCTTTCAACCTAGAGTATTTTTATATTAAAGTGGCTATTGTGTGAATGTCTATTTGAAATACTAGTAAGGGACAGAATTTGCTCAGAATGCAGTACAGATAGTCCATGATTTATGACCAAAATTGAGCCTAAAATTTCTGTTGCTAAGCGAGACAATTATTAAGTGAGTTTCCCCCCCATGTTATGACTTTTCTTGCCACAATTGTTAGGTGAAGGTCGCAAAAGTGATCACATGACCTTTAGACACTGCAACTGTCATAAATATGAACCAGTTGGTAAGCATCTGAATTTTGATCACATGACCATGGGGATGCTGCAATGGTCATAAGTGTGAAAAATGGTCATAAGTCACTTTTTTTTTTAATGCCGCTGTAAGTTCACCAAATGAACTGTTGTACGTCAAGGACTACCTGTATTTAGATAAAGCAATCGAAACCGAGTAATGAGATCCTTAGTCAACATATACTCAGCAATTTAACAAAGTTAGATTTTCTACATTATATTATATTTCTTCCCATCTGGGAAGAAATTTTACTGGAAATTTTATCATAGCAGCAGCCTAAATCTAAGCTTTTGACATTTTATCCCAATTTGACTCAGGTCACATGGGGATTACAGTAAATACACAAACTATTCAAGGAAAAAAGTCCAGTTTGATGATTTAAAGGTCAGATACTCATAGTCATTTTTTTTTAAATAAAAGGAAAGCAATTTAGAAACCAAGGATCCAAGGAAAACCACAGCTTGTTGCTATAAGCCTAGTCACATAATGTACTCGTGCATTTATCATTGCTTATAGTACAACATGGCAAAAGACTCCAAGCATTAACGAGAAGGTGACAGTTTCTGAGAGGGAAATAAAGAACATCAGGAGGAACTTGTTTAAATACATTTCCCAGTATTCGATGAAGAAACAAGTACAGTTGCTGACGGCTATGGTTTTCAACTAAAAGAATGGGCACAATTCAAAACCACAGAGTAGAGAATTTACATTTGCATAAAGGATTAGTTGCTTCGTTCTTGGTATGATTGTAAAGACCCTAAACTGGGTTTGATATCTAAGCACAATTTGAAGGACAGGTTCAAAGTAAAGACTACTGAACTTTATCCCCTTCTGCAAGCAGCCAAGATGGCAAGCTGAGTGCCAAGAGCTTTCTGTAATAGAAAGAGGCAACCTGTGGTCATCTAGCATCCCTGTATCATTGACCATGTTGGATGTAGGTACTGAGAATTGAAATTCTACAACCTTGAGATAAGATCAGGGGTGAAATGCTCCCGGTTCGGACTGGATCGCCCAATCCGGTAGCGATGGAGGCGGGTGGTTCGGGCGGGTGGCCTAGCTGAGCTGCGTGATCATCTGAGGCTTTTTTCTTTTAAATGCCTCTGACGATCCCAGCTGAGTTGCCAGATCGTCAGAGGCATTTAAAAGAAAAAAAGCCTCTGACGATCAGGCAACTCAGCTGGGATCGTCAGAGCCTTTTGAAAGCATTTTTTTACAACCTCTTCACCGAAGAGGTTGTAGAAAAAATGGTTTTAAAAGTAAAAAAAAAATGGCCACACCCACCCAGTCACATTACCCCACCACCACCAAGCCACACCCACAGAACCGGTAGTAACAAATTTTAGATTTCACCAATGGATAAGATGGGTGGCCGATAAAACAAACTTCCCAAGATCTGGTGGGTTTCCACCCCAATTCTAGAAGCAGGGCTGAGAGTAGGACTCACGTGTCTCCATGAGTGGGAATGGTATATCTAAAGTTTTTGTGAATACAGAAAAATCTTACCTCGCATCATCTGCACAATCCTTTGAGATTATTTGTAAAAAAGGTTGACCTAAAGTCCATGATGTTTTGTTCCTGATTCATATTTTTAGCCTCCCAGAGTTCATTAATGTTCATTCATATATGACACAAAAATTTGATTTGGCGACACAAGCCCAAATCTGAATGGAGCATTTCTGTGCTTCCTTCTTTCACTTTAAACAAACCTGTTTTGTATTTTTCCCAAAGTGGAAAATCATTTGCGCCGGTCCTATTCTGCAAGGAAAGCATGAGCCACAATTTGCAAATTCAGACATAACCCAGGGTCAGGAAAGGAAGTACAATGTTTTTCACAACTGTGCCAAGAGCTAAAGATTATTGGCTTTTTACTTCTACCGAACTATATTAGTCTATGTGAGTATATTTCTTTGAATTAATGTTCACTCCTGGTGACTGTCTGGACAAGTCCTTGCAGGTTTCTTGGCAAGATTTTTCAGAAGTGGTTTGCTCCTGCCTTCTTCCTAGGGCTGAGAGAAAATAGATGACCCTGGCTTCATGCCCCAGGCAGGATTAGAACTCAGTCTCCTGGTTTTTAGCCCACTGCCTTAACCATTACATCAAATTGGTCCTCTATATTGAACTATAATAAAGTACATTTTAAGTCAGGCTTGTAAACAGCCATTTGTCTCATTTGATTGTGACAAGCTCCAGGCAACCAGGCTGTAAAAGTTTTGAAATGGAAAGGGGGAAGAGGTGGTGTTAAAATTTAACTACTGAGAAATTAAAGAGGAACATTAACAACACAGGTTTAGATGCATTGGTTTTTAAGGAATAGCAAATTCTTCTGAATTCTTGGCAAAACTCTCCTAACTACTAGAATGCTGGTTTCTAAAGGAAGAGCCTGAAAAAAAACCCACAAAGCTGCTGGAGGAAAAGTTCATACAACATCCAGGCAGCCCCCAGTATTAAAAATATTTTGCACTGAATTGGGGCTGGCTCAAATAATATAGATGCGGAATAAGGTGAATTATATGACTGACATCTGCATTTTTATTTTCTGGTGACACAAATTGCAATCACCAGAACATTTGATTTAAATTAGTTTTTCTGCAGCTGAAAAACTCATTATACGTCTTAGCAAGGAGCCAAAAATATAGGGATGCAAGAATAAAACGTTATTATATTTTTAAAAAATACCCTACCTACCTATCCCTCCCCCTCCTCCCCAAATCTACAAACAGGATTCTTCCCACCGTTCCTACGGTATCTGCATTAAACAGAAAGGAAAAGAACAACGCTAGAGAATTCTATCCAAAACGCGCCCCCTTGTGGCTCATAGCATATTTTGGAAGAAAGAACGAGAGGGAGAGACCGAATATATTGGGCAGCGCCAAACGAATAAAGGCGAAAAAGAAACTTGAATGGTATTGACTGGTTTGCCATTAAGGCAGTAGCTGCAGTTTAAACTGTCCTCCGATTCAGATCACAGCTTTTCAGTTTCACAGTCAAAACCCGCCAAGGCTAATAGAAAGAGGGAAGAAAAAGAAAGACAATCTGAAGTTTACGGTATAAACAAACATCCAAACTTTAGGTCAGTAAAGCGACTATTATCAGTTTGGTGAAAACTGTAGCCGGTATGATCCCCCGAAGCCTGTTGCATTCTGCACACGAACAACAGCCCCTTGTATGTAGATCTCCGCCGTCATGCTTATTCGCCACCCGCTTCGATTTGGGCATCTTAGCGCAGCGCGCACATGTTTATGATACGCATTGCTTTCAATCGAATACCCAAAGGAAGGCTGTGGCTACTTTATTCCACGTATTGGAAAGCGGCAAGCCCTCTTTCAAAGAGTTTAAATAATAGAAACGTCCAAGCATCATTAGCTAAATAAACTTGGAGAATGGAAAGAAAGGGTTGGGGAGGGGGGGCAGGAGAGGAAGAGAGAATGTTTTCTTGTTAACTTAGTGGGTTTTTTGTTTTTAACCAAATACATTCTTCTTACATGAATTGCAGCCCACATCAGGGCCACCCAAGATATGTGTGTGAGAAGGTCTTTCTTTCTTTCTTTCTTTCTTTCTTTCTTTCTTTCTTTCTTTCTTTCTTTCTTTCTTTCTTTCTTTCTTTTCTTTCTTTTTCTCTTTTTTTGTTTTTTCCATAGCAAAGCTGGGTGGCCAATGGAGATCCTGATGCAACTGTGCCTGACATCCTATCTTCTTGCAGAACGAGGCTTTCCCCCCCTCCCCACCGTGCATTTGCAAGGAATAAAAAGAACTCATTGAAAAAGCCGCCGCTGGATCACCGACGGCTCTCTACCCCCTCCCTCACCCCCGCATAAGGAACCCTCCTGAAGCGATTCCCCTCAGCCCGTATTAGGCAACGCGCACTCACCTCCTCAACTGTCAAAGGCATGCAGATCCGATACTCCTTCATGAGCATATTCCGACACATTCACTGCAAGCCAGCAGTTCAGGAGAAAACGCGTAGCACGGGGCAACCCCCCACCTCCGATCCTGCAAAAGGCAAAGCCGCCGCCGCCGCCGCCGCCGACGGTCTACAGCGCCCCGGAGGTCGCCTGCTTGGCAATTTGGGCCGTAGACGTCGCCGCTGCCACCATCCAGCAGCAGGCTGACCCAGCCCCCGGGGAGAAAGACGGAGAAAACACCCCGCGATGCTCTGCTCTGCTCCGATCTTCCAGGTTGGCAGCTTCAAACCGCGGTCAGGCGCTGCTGTGCCTATCACAACATGCACACGCCAAAGGCGGCGGCGGCGGCAGCGATCATACAAAGGCATCCGCCGGGACCGCTACAGCCAGAGGCATTTCTTAAACGCCGCAGCCTCAAGACATTGTTGCCCGAAGGCGAAGTCCGGGCGAAAGAGGCTGGAGCGAGCAAAGCGCGCCTCCCCGACCCCGGGAAGATCGGCCGCCGCCAAAAAGGAGATGCTTCCTTGCGAGACAAAAGGCGGCTCGCTACCGTTTCCTTCTCCGCCTGGTAAACAAGCGTCCTCTGCCTTCTCCGACCGAGCGTTGGAAGGAAGGAAGGAGCGGGGTTCTGCCCGGTCCCTGGATCGGCTGCGGGGCTGGCCTCGCCCCGACGGAGAGTCTGCCGCTCCGGGTCTTGGCTGATCGCGCCGAGGAGCTTCTGCCGCAGCAGCAGGAGCGGCGGCGGCGGCGGCAAGCTTAGGAAGGGTGTGAGAGCGTGGCTGACATCAGCAGCCCCGGCAGGAAGGAGGGCCCCATCCGGCCAATGGGGACGAGGCAGAGCCAGCCAGGCGACCCTTTGAAACAGCAGAGCCAGCCTCGGCTGGAAAAGGCGGCGGGGAAAGGAAAGGACAGGGCAGGACAGGACAGGACAGCCGCTCGCACGCTAGGCAGCAGCGGCAGGAGGAGGAGGAGGAGGAGGGGGAGGCATGCTTGGGGGGGACACAATCAGCTCTGGGTTTTTTTCTTTAAAATGTGTGTGTGTGTGTGTGTATGTATGCGCGCGCGCTCTGAAGAGTAGTGGAGGGCTCCTGGCAAGTTTAGAAGCGTGGGGGGGTGGTGGAAGGAGGAGCAACGAGGTTCTTTGGAAGGATGATCAGCCGTTTGCCTGAAATGGAATATATATATATATATATATATATATAGGGTCTCCTGCTTGAGCAGGGGGTTGGACTAGAAGACTTCCAAGGTCCCTTCCAACTCTTGTTGGTTCTTTTTTCTGTTAATCAGACAGCCTGGTGAGCGAGACCCTGTCTAGATGTGGCCTTCGGGGGGGGGGTGGGGAACACCCTGAAACTCTTTTTTTTTAAAATTATTTATTTATTTATTTATTTATTTATTTATTTATTTATTTATTTATTTATTTTTCTTACACTTCTATGCCACCCTTCTCCCAAAGGACTCTGGGCGGCTCACAGAAATTAAAACGATGAAAACAATAAAAATAGCTACTAAAATAATCAATTGGATAGGAGCCTGGATAGCTCTGCAGACTAAACACTGTAATTTAACACCAGCTGTCTGCAATTAAAGTTAAGTTCGAATCTCGCCAGGCTCAAGGTTGACTCAGCCTTCCATCCTTTCTAAGGTAGGTAAATTGAGGACCCAGTTTGTGGGGGAAATAAGCTGACTTTGTATAAAATATACAAAAGTATGAAGGCTATTGCTTAACGCACTGTAAGCCGCCCTGAGTCTCCGGAGAAGGGTGGCATATAAATCAATTTTTTTAAAAAAATAAAAATAAAATCTCCCATTAGGGCCTTTTCTAGGGACTTCATTCCGACAAGAGGAAGAAAAGGAGGGGGGGGAGTATGTTTGTATGTATGTGTGTGGAGGGGTGGGTGGGGTGTAGGTATTGTGTGTAGACAGGCAGCTGAGCTTTAAGTCCTGCAAAACCCCATCTGTGCTGAGTTGGAGCACATACAGCAAGGCCCCGACTACACATTCCATCTGGTTTCCTTCCCTTGACAGATTTTATTGTGCAAAAGCCCTGCGGGCTGAGCTAAGAAACACTAATGGTGTTTTTGCTGAGCATGTGATCTTAGCCTTACATCCTTCACAAGGGAACAGAAGCGGAGAATAAGGAGAACTCCATTTTAAGAGGCCGAGCCCCTTTTTCTTGCTCTTTCCAAACCATCTGAGTATATAAACACTATTTGTAATCCTTGCATGGGTAAAAAAAAAAAAAATCAAGTTATTTTTTTTTTAAAACTCTTACATTTCATAATTGTTCCTTGGGCAGAGTTCAAGCAAATGATAACTGCTACATACAGTACTAAATTATATCCTTTCTTACTTTAGAGCTCTGCCTAAGTTATCTTTCGCTACTCTTGTTTGATTGGATTCTTCTTTTTAAAATGGGATGATTTTATCCGCAGATTATGTGGATTTGGTTTTGTGTCTGTTGAGAATACTTGATTGCAAACAGACTCCTTTGAATTTTTAGGGAGAGTAGCCATAAAATCTGTTTTACTATAAAGGATGAAATCCGAGGCATCTAAATGGAAAATATATTTATTGTGACACTAAAACGTATAATAAAAGGCATCAGCCAATTTCTAAACTCTTTGGACTTATATGCTTTAATTGTTAGAAAAACTTTTGTCTCTATACGTTCGGAAAATACGAATACTGTAGTGGAAAACTGAGTTATTTCAGTTCTCTGGTTGTTTTAAAATATTTTTAAAGTAATTCACATGGAATTTCTACTGCTGGAGTTTTGAATCTCTAATTTAACATTATATGAAATTACAGGTAGTTCGCAATTTACATCAGTTTATTTAGTGACCATTCAAAGTTACGACGCACTGAAAAAAGTGACTTATGACCAGTTTTCACACACTTGTGGCTGTTGCAGCATCCCCATGATCACATGATCAAAATTCAGCTGCTTGGCAATTGACTCATATTTATGATCGTTGCAGTGTTCCACGGTCATGTGATTGCTTTTTGCAAACTTCTGACCAGCAAAGTCAATGGAGAAAGCAGATTCACTTCACAACCATGTTAGTAACCTAACAGCTGCAGGGATTCACTTAACAGCTGTGGCAAGAAAGGTCATAAAATGGAGCAAAACTCACTTAACAACTATCTCACTTAGCAACAGAAAGTTTGGGCTCAATTGTGATCGTAAATCAAGAGCTATCTGTAATCTGCAATCCACAACTTACCTAGAAGTGAAAGCCACAACATTTTACAGAACAGCATAAACGTTTATGGACTGTAGACCACTTCAGCAGATGTATGGTGCTGTCCTTGTTACATGTTATATGTACATCTGATCAGAAGAGAGAATTGTAAACAGTAAGATCAGTGAAATGACAGGCACAAAGTATAGTGACCATGACAATATTAACAGAGTCTATTCACAAAAACATAAGAAAGGTGATAATACAAGATATCCTGGCAAGTTAATTGAATTCAGGGAATAGCGCTACTATAGTCTTGGGCAAACTAAGAATATTTTAGCACATAGGCTCACAACGAACAACAAATGTTACTACTGTATAGTTTTGACACCTTGCAGCATTCCAGTGGAACAGATGCTTCATGCATGAATCAGAGCATCACAAAAGTGCTTGTCGTTGTAATTTACTAATTCTGTTTTTCTTAAGGACTCATACACCATAACCTAAATATTAAGATATGCGTAGTACAGTATTTTGAAGTTTTTACATACATACAAAACATAGGTTTTTTAAAAATCTTACCTGCCATACAAACCTCAACTTTGGATCAAGTTATGGATTAGGCAACTCAAATACTTTGGCCACCTAATGAGAAGAGCCTAATGCTGGGAAAGATTGAGGGCAAAAGAAGAAAGGGACGGCAGAGAACGAAGTGGCTGGATGGAGTCACTGAAGCAGTCAGCATGATCTTAAATGGACTCCGGAGGATGGTAGAGGACAGGAAGGCCTGGAGGAACGTTGTCTATGGGGTCGCGATGGGTCGGACACAACTTCGCAACTAACAACAACAATGGATTAGGCAGAGCCTTTTAATGAGTTCTGTTGTGAACGACTTACCTCTGCCTGGGCTCTTCATATTGCAAAGACTGTGAAAGGAGAGTTAACTTTGAAGTTAACTTTTCCTGACTTCAAAGCTTAAAGCATCTGCAAAATGAGATACAGGTAGTCCTTGACTTACAAGCATTAATTTAGTGACCATTCAAAGTTACAATGGCATTGAAAAAAAGTGATTTAGGATTGCTTTTCACACTTAGGACCGTTGCAGCATCCCCATGGCCACATGATCAAAATTCAGACACTTGACAACTGAGTCATATTTATGACGATTGCCATGTGCTAGGTCATGTGATCACCTTTTGCAACCTTACGACAAGCAAAAGTCAATGGGGAAAGGCAGGTTCACTTAACAACCGTGTACTAACTTAACTGCAGTGATTCGTTTAACAACTGCGGCAAGGAAGGACATAAAATGCGGCAAAACTCATTTAATAAATATCTCACCAAGCAACAGAAATTTTGGACTCAATTATGGTCATAAGTCGAGGACTACCTGTAGTCACAGCTGCATATTTACTCACCCTCTTTTTTTCCCCTGTTTTCAAGATTATGGAGGGGAGGTACAACAGAAATGCAAGAAAGGGGGTGTAGAGGAATTTAGGGCTGACTGTAACAGATTAACAGAGTTGGAAGGGACCTTGTAGTAGGTCATCTAGTCCAACCCTCCCCCCCCAAATACCTTGGGGAAGGTATGAAAGATCCAGTAAGGCAGGGTGGAGGAAGGGATGAGCCATTTTTAAAAAAAGTGGGCTGGAGAGACTGGCAGAAAAGATCACACAGTCTTGGAGAAAGAGGGAAGCGTTAGAAAGAAACCCAATCCCATCTTGACTTTGTATCATATGGGATGGAATAGAGTAAAAATGAGAGAGGTTGTCACGATTCTGTCGCAGTACCTTCCCAGAATCTCTGCCGTGCCCGTGTCTTTCACCATGCCCCAGTGTCTTTTAATCTGGCCTATCCCCAAAGGGTTGACTAGGATGTTAAAGGACCCTTCTCCTCTCCAGTCTGCAGTAAGCCTCCATGGATTTTAATTATCTTATTTCAACAGTCAGTAGTGACAACCAGGGCCAGCTAGTCAGAATCATAGGGCTTGGAGGTCTTCTAAGCCCAACCCCCTAACAAAGGCAGGAGTTCTTATACCATCTCTGACAAATAGTTATCCAGTCGTTTCTTGAAAACCTTCAGTGATGGAGCATTCACAACTCTGGGAGACAAGCTGTTCCGTTGACTAATCATTCTCACTGGTAGGAAATTCCTCCTTATTTCCATGCCCCTTCCCCTCCCCCCAATTGCTTCTTACCCTCAGGTGCTCTGGAGCAGAGGTCTCCAACCTTGGTAACTTTTAAGAGTTGTGGATTTCAACTTGCAGAAGCTTTGCTGGCTGAGGAATTCTGGGAGTTAAAGTCCACAACTCTTAAAGTTTCCAAGGTTGGAGACCCCTGCTCTGGAAAGCAAATCAATGTTCTCTTCCCTGTGACATCCCTTCAAGTATTGGAAGACTTAACAGTAACAGAGTTGGAAGGGACCTTGGAGGTCATCTAGTCCGACCCCCTGCTCATGGAGGAGACCTGTACTAGGGATTTGAACCGCTGAACTGCTGACCTTTCTGATCAACAAGCTCAGCGTCTTAGCCACCGAGCCAGGCTGGTTCTATCGTGTCTCCCTTAAGCTTTCTATTCGTAGGTTAAACATGCCTAGTTGCCTTACCCGTTCATCATATGATTTAGCCTCCAGATCGCTCATCATCGTTGTTGCTCTTCTCTGCACTCTTTCTAGGACCTCAGCATCTTTTTTGTATCATGGTGGT